TGGAGTGAATTCCTGACTCCCTGGCCATAAGCATTCCCTGGGGAGCTTGCTGAGATGCAGCTTCTGATCTGAAAGTCCTGGGCAGGGCCCGAGCATCTGCTGAGCCCTGGTGATTTGCTGCTGCCTGTCTGCAGACCACACTGGCAGTCGCAGGCTCTAACGCATTATTTCACTTTGTTTTCTTCCTAGTACGTGTCACAGGGTGATATTATTGTATTCATCTGTACATCTGTGTGTTGTAGCTCTTCCCACTAGACATGAATTGCCTGACTTGGGTGCCTGGTCTGCCTCATGCCCTGTGATAGGCCCAGGCCCAGCACAGGGCAGACACACAGTAGGCTCTCAATCCATGAGGTCCCTGGGTGACAGAGGGAGTCAGGTTCTGGATGGCAGGGACCATGTCCTGTTTTCTCTGGGCTTCCTCCTGGCCCACCAGGGGCTCAGGGACTGGGCAGCTTCTGGCCCTTGAGCCCATGTGTTCCCAATAAGTCAGGACTGGAGAGACAATGGGAAGAAAAACAGCCTGAGGCCCGTTTCATATCGATATCAGGTGATATGTGTGTATAAATTTCTTCTTTTTTTTAATCCTCACCCAATGATATTTTTCCATTTATTTTTAAAGAGGGTGGAAGGGAGGGGGAGAGACAGAGAGAGAGAAACATCGATGTGAGACATATGGATTGGCTGTCTCTCTCACACTCCCCAACCAGGGCCGGGGATAAGCATGCAACTGAGGTATGTGCCCTTGACTGGAATCGAACCCTTCCGTCTGCAGGCCAATGCTCTATCCACTGAGCCAAACTGTCTGGGGCTAAAATTTATTTTTAAAACTAGAAAACTTGCTGCAACCTTTGTCTGAGTCCCTTCTGTAGCTGCCTGGGTCCTCGCCCAGCCCGGTTGCTTGGAGACAGGCGGCCCTGGGGCAGGACATAACCATCCTAACCCTTGCACCACATTCACATGGTGTTCCCGGCCAGGCCCTTGGGGCCTTGAAGCCAGTCCATCTGGAGCCAGTTACGTTTGTCCAACGTGGGCGATGCAGATGCCCTGAGCATGAGGCCCATGGCAGCTCTGCGGAGCCATCCCAGGACCAATGCCTCCCCCTGCCTCAGTTTCCCCCACCTGAGGGCAGGAGAGAACACTGGGGATACTGAATGCCGCTTGAGGTCTAGTCCACTTCTGCTAATTCCCTCCCTCCCATTGCCAGGATTCCCACCTGCAGTGCCCCGTTGGACCAGATAACCTCCCACCCACCCTGGGATGGGGAAACGTGAGAGCAGGGACACATGAGTCCACCAGGTCCTGCACCACAGCAGCCCCCGAGAAGCCCCCACCTCCCTTTTCTGCCTTCCTCCTCTCCCCACTCCTAGGACTTGTCTGAGCCAAGCCTCTCCCCTTAGATCCCTGCTCTTTGTCTTCTAATCCAAGATGGCTGGCAGCTGCTGATTCGGCAAAATTTTATCCAGGGCCTCCCGTCTGCCATGTAGACCTGTGGGCAGTCTCTGTAGACTATTGGCTGGCCACCCTGGCCTCTCCTCCTTCCCAGGGCAGCCAGAGAGTTCTGCACTCATTCGCTCACACAGCTCACCCTCCCCCCCAATTACCAGTTTGTTCACACTCTCCCTCTTTCACTAACACACCCATTTACTCACTCACTCCATCCTTCTGGGCCAGTCCAGCAACAAGTCTGGGAACAGACTGGCTTTAGCATGCAAGTATAGGGGCGGGGTGCCACCTCGGGGTGCAGGGGCCATGTGCTCAGCTGGAGAGGCCCTAACAAAGCTCAGCCTCTTGTTGAATAGATGAGGCAGAGGCGGTCCATAGGGGCCCGGGTGGCTCTCGGTCACTGGGTAAAAGAGGAAGGAGGCTGCCACGTGCAGGGAAGTCAGCTCTCCCAGCCCTGGGCACAGTACTGGGACATCATGTTTTCCAGTTCTGAGTCGGGGACGATGGGGCTGGGTTATAAGTGCCAGCACTGAGGCAGGGTAACGCTCTTAGGGACCTGCATGTGGATTCAGAAGGGGTTACCCAACCAGGGCTGGAAGGGCCTTCCCTTCAGAGATCTGCAAACCTTTTACTTTACAGCCGTGGGCATTGGAGCTCAGAATCTGCTGAGTATTTGCAGTTCTGGGCGCCAGGACATATATGAACAGGACCGAAATGTGTGCATCAAGCCCCAGGACTGAAGAGTGAATGATGAACTGGGAAGCAGAGTGTAGGAAAGGGGAAGTGGCAGGAGACGGTGCATATTTATGTGCAATATACCAGGTATTTCACAAACATCATCTCCAAAAATCATAATGATCCGTGGGTAGGAATTATTATTCATCCCAACTCCTCCTTGCCTCAAAGTTTAAGGCTTAAACTAATAGTGTGTGTTCTGAGGCCTCAATTTCCTCCTCTGTAAGTGGAGAACACCATTTACATATGATTATTGGAAGGGTTGTTCCAAGTACTTTGCTTAGACTAGTGATCAATGATTGTTATTAGGACATAGGAGGAAGCTGAGGTTCAGAGAGGAGCGTGACTAGCCCAGGGCCACACAGCCAGAGGGAGGAAGAGCTGGCCGGACTCTCTGTCCCACCCCATAACCTGCAGTACAGAAAGGGTTAAATTGGAAGCTCTGCCCTTCACAGCAGGTGCCTGAACCTGGCTGCCCTCTCTGTTCTGAAGAGGCAGAGCCAACTGTCCCAATGCAGAATGACCCCAGGTCACCTGCAGCTGTGTACACAGCCAGCCCACAAAGGGCGCTTGGCTTGGCGAGTGGGGCATCTGCTATCCTCTGAGGCCCAGAGAGCTGGGCTGGGCCTCCCTCTCTCGCCTCTGAGACCGTGGGCCACGACCTCCCCTATTCTGGGTCTCCGTTTCCTTATCTGAAAGGGATACACTTTTGTTTTTCTGCCTCGTGTTGTGGGCACTGAGTGAGTTAGAGGATGGGCATTGTGTGAAATAGTTAAGACCAGTGATTTGGGGGTGGGGTGAATATTATAACTTAATGGGGAGGGACTAATGGGAGGTAGAATTCAGTTCAACGTAAAGATGAATTTTCTCAGCTCTCAGGCCACAGGCGTGGAAGGAAGTAGGCGAGTGGGTAATTGTCAGTCCTAGGGATGCAAAGGGGCTCCTGCCATGGGGAGAGAGTAAGAGTCGCTTAGGTGAACCCTGGCTCATTTAGCTCAGTGGATAGAGTGTCAGCCTGTGGACTGGTCAAGGGCACATGCTGGGTTGTGGGCTTGGTCCCCAGTGTGGGGCATGCAGGAGGCAGCAGATCAACGATTCTCTCTCATCATTGATGTTTCTATCTCTCTTTCCCTCTCCCTTCCCTTCTGAAATATATATATATATGTGTGTGTGTGTGTGTGTGTGTGTGTGTGTGTGTATATATATATATATATATACATATATATATATATGTTGTTTTGTTTTTTTTAAGAGTCACTTAGGTGAGCCGAAACCGGTTTGGCTCAATGGATAGAGCATGGGCTTGGGGGCTGACAGTCCCGGGTTCGATTCTGGTCAAGGGCATGTACCTTGGTTGTGGGCATATCCCCAGTAGGGGGTGTGCAAGAGGCAGCTGATTGATGACTCTGTCTCATCGATGTTTCTAACTCTCTATCTCTCTCCCTTCCTCTCTGTACAAAATCAATAAAAATATATTAAAAAAAAAAAAAGTCACTTAGGTGAGACACATTCCCTTCCCTGGGCTCTCCGCTTCTCTCCTCTCCTGCTGAGCTGAAAGTACCTAGAGATCGGTCCACCTGAGGCGGTGCTGTGAGCAGGTGGCCGGACCAGAACTCTGACTCTGACACAAGCTTGCAGTGCAACTTTGAGCCTCCCTCTTGGCCTCGTTTTCCTAATTCTCTCCTGAGTAAGTATAACAGGTGCAGTTTGGTAACTGTGATAATGTGTCCGTGAAAAGAATGATTATCGTCCAAGACTTTGGCCAAAGGACTAGGCCAGCGGTAAAGAGGAAGCACTGTAACGCATGGGATTGCAGATGAGAGTTGGGAGGGACCTGAGCATCAACCTAGATTCCGCCCAGATAATACATCAGGGACTGTGCTTTGTGGCTTACAGAGCATTCACTTTAGCTTTGTTTTGTCCGATCCTCACCACACTACCCCGAATTTACAGATAAAGATACAGACCCAGTGACTACAGAGTGCAACTCGTTCAACCTCACGTGATCTAGGGCACTCACCGGAGGTGGGAGAGAGGTGGTCCTGGGCTGGAATCCCAGCTCCAACAGGACCATGGGCGGGCTCTTTTAGCAATCTACACCTCTGCATTCTTTTTAAAAAATATATATTTTTATTAATTTTTTACAGAGAGGAAGAGACAGGGAGAGAGAGTTAGAAACATCGATGAGAGAGAATCATCAATCAGCTGCCTCTTGCACACCCTCCACTGGGGATGTGCCCGAAACCAAGGTACATGCCCTTGACGGGAATCGAACCTGGGACCTTTCAGTCCGCAGGCCGACGCTCTATCCACTGAGCCAAACCGGTTTTGGCTACACCTCAGCATTCTTACTGTTAAACAGGAAGGTGAAATATCGTAGGGTTGTGGTGAAGATTAAATGAGATAACTTTGTGAAAGGGTTTAGTGCAGAAATGAATGCAGAGTAGATGCTGAATAAGTGCATTGAATAAAGAAAAACCAAAACACACTAGGAAACTGCAGGACTGGGCTTCTGGTTCCCATTTCAGTGCTCTTTGCCCCTCCCCCTCGTCCTCTCCCTTTCCCCAAGCGCTTTCTTTAATGTCCACTCCCCTCCTCGTTCATGTCACAGCCTGCACACCCCAGGTTGAAGAAGGGAGCTGAGCTTTAGGAGGCTGCTCTAAATGGGCAGCAAGAGCCAGTTGGTCTCGGGTGGTGACCCGAAGGAATCAGTGACTGCCCTGAGGTCAACGCACTCGTTGCCAAAGAGCAAAGCGTCCCTGTAACTGGCCCCATGAGCTGACAGAGGAGGAGGAGCCAGGCTTTCCCCCAGGCGGTCAGGAGTGGTGAAATGACATGCAGAAGGCTGGCAGGTCAGTCCCTGGGCGGATAGATCGTCTAATACAGGCACTGGGGCCCAAGCACTGGGATTGGCCTAAAACAGAGCTGTGTGTTTTTTGACCCACCAGGTGGGCCCTGGCGTCCTGTCAAACTGTCATCCCTCCCAGGCGTGAAAGATAACAGCGTAGAAGCAGTGCTGGGCAGTCTGCCGGACTCCGGGTGCCAGAGAACGTGACCATGCAGGTGCTCACCCCGCGCTACCCCAAGAACTGCCTGCTGACCGTCATGGACCGGTACTCGGCCGTGGTGCAGAACATGGAGCAGGTGGTGATGTTCCCCAGCCTTCTGCGGGACCTGCAGCCAAGTGCGCACGGGGGTGAGGCCCAGGCTGGAGCCCCCAGTCTCTACAACTACTTCACCATGCTCAAGGCCATCCGCGTGGATGTGGAGCACGGGCTGCTGCCCCGGAAGGAGGGGCAGGGCAAGATGGCAGGTGGTGGAGCCCATGAGGCTGAGAATGAAGCTGCAGAGACGGAAGAGGGTGAGGAGCTCTTGGGGCAGCTGGACCTAGAGGCCCAGTTCCACCTGCACTTCTCCAGCCTTCATCACATCCTCACCCACCTTACCTTGAAAGCCCAGGAGGTGACGAGGACGTACCAGGAGATAACGGGACAGGCCATTTAAGCCTCGGACGGACGCTAGGGAAGGTAATGGTGGCCATGCTAGCGGGTGTCAGGGTCCACGGAGGGACATTCCAGGGGAGCATGGGGAGCAGTGGTGCAACCCCGTGGGAGGGGGTCTCAGACCCACTTCAGGGTTCTGGGAACATCACCTGGGAAGGCCCAAGGCCAGGACTACCTTACTGTCCTTCTGACCCAGAACTGGTGAGTAATGGAGTGACTGCTATGGAGACAGAGAGAAAAGTGACCTGTGAGTGCATACCTGATGTATGCATGTGTTTATGCACGTGCACATTTGTTAGTAAGTATGGGTATTTACGCAGGTAAATTGTGAATTCCATGTGTGAATTCTATGTACCTGATATTTTTTAAGGTCACAGAGCAGGAAAAATTATGTCACGTAGGGGCGATAGGTAAGGCTGCTCACAATATTCCTGCACCTGACCGGGGTGCAGCCAGCCAACGGAAAGCTACAGGACTGCTACCTGTGCAGGCATGCCTGTTGGGATGCTCTGTTGTGAGGACATATGTGTTGGAGTCCGAGCCCGTATGTCTGTGCACAGAAGGGTTGGGGTTATGAGGTGTGGGTGAGCAGCGAGCTAGACAAGCAGGTGAAGGCACTCGGTGACAGGAAGTGGACTTGAGACAGTTATGGGTGGGCCACTCCTGGGTAGATGGGGAGAAACTTGGCCACACCACCTGCCAGCTTTCATCCTGGGCCACCTGCCAGCCCTGCTCCCACAAACTGGCTTCCCTGGTGATGAACCTTGTTCATGTCTATGGGAATCTCAAAACCACGATGGAGGTAGGTGGGGCGGATTTCTATCCCCGTGTTACTGGTAAGGAAATGAAAGCCAGAGGTGAAGCGACTCACTAAAAGTCACCTAGAAAGAGGACAAAAGCAAGACTGGCCCCAAGTTTGAGCTGAGTGTTCTTTTTACCACACCCGATCGATTGTGGCCAGATGTGCTATCTTCATAATTTGCCTAGAGGCCACCTGCAATGATGAGGATGGAACAGGGACCTGAACACAGTCTATGGTGAGCTCTGCGCAGGTATTTCCTCAGCCATTCTTTCCTCCACTACCTCAAACCCAAATCAGAACTTCAGCCTAGCTTCTCTCTCCTCTCAAGGCTCCCTAGGTTGCCTTTCAGAGGTTCTTGAATATAACTGAATTGGGTCAACAGCTCGGAGTCAAGTTCTAGTTCCACCACTAATGAGCTGTGAGGCCTCTGCTTTCTGGGCTTCAGTTTCTTCACTGAATTGTAACAGTGGTAGCGAAAACAACAACAAACTTGAATAGTTTTATAGGTTAAAATCACTTGTATATTATCTAATAGAATTAGCATCCCCTTTCACAGATGAAAAAGCTCGGAGGCCTGAGAAGTAAAAGGAGCCCAAGGTTATTCAGGAAATGTCACAGCTGAGATGCAAATGAGCCCTGGCCTAACTGGCGTCTAAGTCCTTTCCTCTGAGCTAGTGAATTTCCTTAGCGCCATGGAATTCTGCAGCCTGGGCTGGAGGTGGGAACTGGGGGAGGGGGAGGAGGGGGGAACTGCGTGAGTAGAACATTCACTCTTTGATCAACCCCAAACTGCTTCACAGACAAGAGAAGCAGTTCCCCGCAACACTACTGATTTTTGTGGCATAACAGAAGTTAAAAAACCTGGGCTCTGGTCCTGGCTCTGTATGACTTACCTTTCTTTTCTCTCTCTTTACAAAAAAAAAAAAAAAAAAAAAAAAAAGAGGAAGGGAGAGGGAGAGAGAAACATCAATGATGAGAGAGAATCATTGATCAGCTACTTCTTGCATACCTCACACTGGGGATCGAACTCGAAACCTGGGCATGTGCCCTGATTGAAATTGAACTGTGACCTCTGGGTTCATAGGTCAATGCTCAACCACACTGGACAGATTCTTTATTTAAATTTTTTTATTCCTCGCCTGAAGGTATGTTTTGATTTTTAGAAAGAGAGGAATAGAGAAACATTGATGTGACAGAAACATCAATTGGTTGCCTCCTGTACATGTTCTGTCAGAGACCTGAACTACAACCTGGGTATGTGCTCTGACTGGGAATCGAACCTGTTACATTCCAGGACAATGCTCCAACCGAGCCGCACCAGCCAGGGCTAACTTACTTTTCTGCATTGCAGTTTCCCTTTTGGTACAATGAAGTTATTGCAGCTCTGATAACATGATTCTTCTTACAGGGCTATGATATTGCAGGCGTCTCCTACAGCAACATCATTGAGCTTTTTCATTATTTTTCTTATTCAGGAGGAACGTGACAGTACCTCAGTGATGTGGTTTTACACTGACTTGGTTTTTTAATATTTCTGAATTCCACAGATCCCTTTATCGAGAGAAGGCAGACTCTATAATGAGGACTCGGAGCAGTTCAAGAGCCCTAGCGATGAGAGCAGAAAGACTAGACCTGCACTGGAAGTGAGGCGACGTGGTTTTCTGGGATGCTTCACTACCTCCCTTTGGGCACCAATTCGTGACTCGTCACCGGGTCACCTTTAGGATGCTTGCTGCTCTTTACAACTCTCCCTCTCTCCGCTTACCAGCATGGGATAGTGATCCGTGGATCGGGAGGGGATAGATGATATTTAGACGGTGTGTCATGGTAGGAACATAGGTTTTAGCATTTGACCAATTCTTAGCAATTCACTGTGTGATCTTTGGCAAGTTATTTAATCCATTGGAATCTAAATTTCACCACCTATAAATGGGGATAGTATTGCTTACCTCACAAGGTTAGTCTAGAAATTAAACAAAATAGAATCAAAAGTACCTGGCATATAAGTGCTGTTATTTATACTCATTCCCCCACCCCCACCACACCTATATTTCTGTATTTGCTCTAGCCTTTGTTTTTTACACTCCAGAACTAAGAGGTAGCAGAGTCCCTTGGATTGAGTGGTTCACTTTTGTTCCTGCCAAGCACAGGTGAACTATGAGCCTATTTAGTACATAAACCATCTATATATATAAAAGCCTAAGCGACTGTTATGACATAGGTCACTATGATGCGCACTGACACAGGAGCTGCCCCCTGGTGGTCAGGGTGCTCCCACAGCGGGAGCATTGCTCAGCCAGAAGCCAGGCTGGTGAGTGCATCTGTGGTGCTGGAAGCCTCTCCCACCAGCTGCTTCGCATACTGCTACATCCCGCAGGGGATGTTGGACCTAAACCATTAGCCAAACATCCCCCGAGGGGTCCCAGATTGTGAGAGGGTGCAGGCCAAACTGAGGGACCCTACCGGTGCTTGAATTTTGTGCACCAGGCCTAGTTAAAATATAGTGCCTTGTATTTGTACATTATTAACTCTGAAGTACTTCCTTAGTCATGGTTTTATATTCAACAAGAGGCACTTGAGAACAGAGATGGAACTCATCTAATTTTACCCAGAAACCACGCTTATAATCACATGCCACCTACTTTGACATCACATGGAAAGAAACAATTTTATTAATCCCCAAAAACTAATCTAGATTATAAAAGGCCAGTGGCTAGAATGCCAGAATGACCAACCAACCAGTCACCAGGAGGTGCACCTCTCGTTCCCTCCCCCCGGCCTGTGAGCTGCTCCTGGTGGTGGCGGCGCAGGGCTCTCAGCTCACACAGAATGGCAGGATCGTGCACAGCGGGTCTGGAGTCCTGCTGGCCCAGCAGGTCTGGGTCTTGCACGATTTCAAGGACTGGGTCTCTAGTCTGATCATAAAATCCGAGCCTGGAAACAAAAGCCTTCTGGACAAGCACTGGATTTGATGAGCAATAAGTGTAAGCTCAGCCCTTGCTGACTTTGCTCAGTGGATAGAGCATCAGCCTGCAGACTAAAGAATCCCAGGTTCAATTCTGGTCAAGGGCACATGCCCAGGTTGAAGGCTTGATCCCAGGAGGCAGCTGATCAATGATTCTCTGGTATTACTGATATTTCTATTTCTCTCTCCCTTCCTCTCTGAAATCAATCAATCAATAAAAATTATATATAAAAAAGAGAGTAAGCTTGTAAGCTCATTCCAGTTAGGTGGGATCTTTTACTACTAATTGCACTGAGCTCTGCTGAGAGTGTTAGCACTGAGCCCACTTTCTCCAGGATGATCCATCTTCTAAGAGCAAAGCCCCTTTGCAGAATGTTTTCTGTTCTCCTGGTCTTGAGTTTCCTGCTTGTAAACCACCTGCTATATTATTCAGAGAGCTCAAAAACACAATCCTGACCATGTTATTCCTATTAAAAACCCTTTAGTGACTTCCTACTACCTAGAGCAGGAGTGGGGACTGTCTGGCCCACATGCTGCATATGGCCTGAAAAATCACCTGGTCTGGTCTTGCCAAGTAATTAGGGTTGAGTTAAATGTCTGACCACATATAGCAGGCTGTTTTAAGTTGACAATTTTGAATGGCCCTCGAATGATGTTATAAATATCCCATTGGCCCTTCACAGAAAAAAAGGTTCCCCACCCCACCCAGAGGATCAAGTCAAAATTATTCTACATGACTTACAAAACCCTCCATAATCTAGCTTGCTTTGCTCTAGAATGGGAGCAGGCAAACCTTTTCTGTAGGGCACTATTAGATATTTTAGGCTTTGTAAGCCATAAGGTCTCTGTCACAACTACACAACTCTGCCCTCTGCTGTTGTAGCATGGAAGCAAGCATAAATATGGAAACATATGAGCATGGCTGTTCTAAAAGAACATACTGGCATGGGCCAGATTTGACCCACAGACTATAGTTTTCAACACAGAACTATAACTAGACTTCATTTTTAAAGCTGTCAGATGTCTTCTTAAAATTGGGTAAATGAAAACTGACCACTGGTTTTTTTTTTATGATAAAAAGGAGTCAGAATGTTCATGATGATCACTTTAATCACAAGGTGTTAACATACAGGTTAATATAAACTTCAGATATCATGAAATCATGCTCCACAAAATTCAGAAATAACTGTTTTCAGTGAAACCAAAGAAAGTGATTTGAAGACTTCAACGCACTGGGTAGAATTTTTCAAATTTCTCACCATACGTTTTCTTATCTATAAAAGAAAAGATCACAAAACATTTATGTTTAAAGTATGTTTTAAATCATATTTCCTAAAGAATAAAATTAAAATATAATATTCTTACAGATAGAAACTCCTAAAATTTCCTTCTTTTCTTGTCCTCAACTATGGTTTGGTGATCACTGAAATATCTTGCTATACTGAATGGATTTTGAAGAATCTGTGGTGACAACCAGATGGCTGCCTGGAGGGGCAAGGTGCTGCCAGGGGGATCCTGGCTAAAGGGGTGAAGGAAGGAAGAACAGGGAGGGGCCCAGAGCTGAGGTCATCAAGTACTCCATGCCTGTGTGGTCAATGCATGCGGCTCTTGGCACACCTGCCAGTAATCTGCTGCTCAAAGACAAAAAGAGCCCATGAGGCTCTACACGCTCCTGCTGACAGAGGGAACTAGTAGAAATATGGAGGCAAAGAACTAGAGGTCTGGAACTGAAGACTGCTCTGCCATTGGTTCTCACTCTGGAAATTAATATTCCCAAGATTCCTTCCAGCTCTAACATCTAGCAGTTCTGAGTATTTTCTGTGCGTTCTACAACCACTATTCATGGATTTGTATTAGTCTTTGAGCTCATCAGAAAAAACACAACAAAACAAAAACTGTACCTTTCAGATCCACCATTAACATTACATATGTGATTAAAGGTTATAGGAATGTTAAATACAGTAATAAAATTTAGAATAAACAGGACCTTAGAGATCATCATTCAGTCTAAAAAAATTTCAATGCTTAATATTATTATACATATAGGAAAGTCTATTTAAAATCTATATATTTACAGGTTTAAGATATTGCTTCCTTTTCCTTCCTTCCTTCAACTTATGTACACATCTGTATTGTGTGTATGTGTAAAATAAAAAGAAGGCAATTATGTCATAATTATAGTTGAACAGAGATAAGCAGTTTGCTGAGGAAATTCCTGTCTGTAGATGGGTGAAAACTTCATTGAGTTGATGAACCTTGAGCAGGAATTTGTTAGATGGGAAGAGTGGAAATGGGACAGGAGGAGGCTCAAGAAAAAAGCACAGTGTGTATGAAGTGATACAGGGCAGGTCCAGGACTGGGCCTTTCACAAGGCAGGAGATGAGTTATGGGAGATGAGGCAGGATTCTGTGTTGTTCAGGTCAGCTATTATTTATTAAGTGCCTACTATGTGTTGGCTCTGTTCTAGAGGCTGGGACATTCAAAGATGAAGCTGCAGTCTAATGAGTGACACACAACTGTGTCTAAGTAATGTGGTGAATAAAAGGTATGGGCAAAGTGTTTCTACCAGGCAATTAACCTGAGACATGATCTACAGCAAGACCAAAAACATAGATGTCTGAAGGCAAGTCAATGATTCAAGCAAAAGATTATTAGGGCCTGAACCAGGATAGTAGCAGTGGGGCAGAGTGGAGAGTTCAGAGATGAGAAATAGGAAGTAGAACAATAAGACTTGATGGGAAGTAAAAGAGAAAGACCTGAAGATGATTCCCAGGCTTCTGCTAGAATACACAGATGGACAGTGGTGCCATCACTGAAGCAGGCACCGAATAGAAGGTATGGGCAGGCAGAGGGTACATGAGGGTCTATTTGCTGTCTGAGGTACTTAGCCAGAAATCTGACATATGAATCCAAGAAAATTCTGGTCTATGGACAACCATGTGGGACTCAACAGAATAGAGAAGATACCTGAAGTTACAGACATGGAAAAGATTAACCAGGCGGAAATGATGCAAAGTAAGAAAGGTTTTTTACAATTAACTTGAAATACCTTCTTCAGGAAAATCCTCTGGATGTGATTTTATATATGCAAACATATCATGGTCCTTCAAAGCATACATATAGTCTTGACGTTTTAGAAGATAATATCCAACAAAAAAAAAGGAAGTAATATATAGAAGCTGGCGATGCACACCTGAAAATCAAAGGACAAATCGCAAAGAAAACAAAAATCAGTCAGGCAATATAAGATTATATTCTTACATTTCAGATATATAATTTGCTTTTCTTCTAAAATTCTTTTTTTAATTTTTATTTATTTATTTTTAAATATATTTTTATTGATTTTTTTTTTTTTATAGAGAGGAATAAAGAGAAACATCGATGAGAGAATCATCGATCAGCTGCCTCCTGCACACCCCCCACTGGGGATGTGCCCGCAACCAAGGTACATGCCTTGACTGGAATCAAACCTGAAATTCTTCAGTCCCCAGGCTGACACTCTATCCACTGAGCCAAACCAGTTTTGGTTAAAATTCTTTTTTTTTTTTTTTTTTTTTTTTTTAAAAAGGACTTTCTATATGGCTATTCTGAACAAACAGCCTTGATCTTGAGATGTTTTCTTAAAGCAATTTGACAACTATAAAAGACAACATTAAAGTCTACAAACATCAATACCAATAGAACCAAGATTTTTTAAAATGAGGTTTTATAAATTTCTTCATGGGAAAAGGTTTTTAAGTACCAAATCCTAAATGTTAGGCTGAGAACAGAAAAAAAATATTTTCTTTTTTGATAAGTTAACTTTAGACCTCAACGAATTTATATTCCAGGATATGTTCAGGATGTGATGAGCTGAGGGGAAAGTCCTCCACAAATGGTCTAAAAACAATTTTGTTGGTCTCCATAAACTGATTTATATTTGCATAATTAGTGGTTACTACAACAGCAGGCTAACTACAAATATATCTCAATTAACTTTTGTACCATTTAAATTTCCTCCTATTTCATGAATTATCTATTAAAAACTATATTTAAAAATTCTTCATATTAAAAAGTCACTCTATTATAATGAGACTAGAGAGGATCAAATCACTAGAATGGACCTTATGGCTTACAAAGCCTAAAATATATAATACCATAGAGAAAAATTTAGTTTGAAGGGGAGATCCAAGGGTATAACTTTATATATGAAATATTTTTTGCAAAAGGCTAACTGCAGGTTTGATTTTCTAGCTAAGCCCCAGATTTCTATCCCCAGCTCTCCACTTCTTATCCCACACATCTTCCTTTGGAGAGCTCGTTTATTACTATACTTTTATTTACTATCCATGTGCTGGTGACCCACGAGTACATCCAACTCATATACGCATACTGAATAACAGATACATCCAGATATGTCCACTTAAATATCCTCAAATGAACTCATTTCCTTCCTATTCATACCTCTTTCTCCTAATTCCAAGAATAAGACCTTTTGCCCAGAAATTTAAGTCCTGGGTAATAAACACAGTAATCATCCTTTATTTCTACCCTCTTCCCCATATCCAGCCACTGAAAGCTGTCAATTCTACCTTGTAAATATTTCTTCACTTATCTCTCATTTGCTCTAACTGGTCTCCCCTTCATCTAATTTTTCACTCTGTATGATCCCAGCTTTTATCCTGTCACTAGAGGAATTTTTACTGAAATATAAACCTAGTGTGTTGGTCCCTTCTCCTTCAAGTATGGTCAATAGGAGTCCAAACTCTTGCATTTGACCTCTAAAGCCCTTCATGAGCCAACTTTCCCACCTTCATCTTCTGGCACTCCCTGAGAGGCAGTGTGTGCCAGCAGCACTGAACTGCCTTTAAAAGAATTTTTTTTTTTTTATTTCACAGAGGAGAGGGAGACAGAAATACCGATGAAAGAGAATCATTGATTGGTTGCCTCCTACACACCTTCTATTGGGGATTGCACCCACCACGTGGGCATGTGCCGTTGATCAGTATCGAACCTGGGACCCTTGAATCCACAGGCCGATGCTCTATCTACTGAGCCAAACCAGTTAGGGCTGAACTGCTTTTAACTCTTCACAAAAACTAGGCTTCTTTATGCTTCTACATACCACACACTTATTTCTCTGCCCAGAAACTTCCTGATCCTTCAAGACTTAACTTAGACATCACTTCAGCTAAGAAGTCTTCCCAGAACTTTCCTGAATTTAAAAGGGTGAGCTCATCTCTATTAATATGTAAGTTGCTATAATAATTATTTCTTTCTCTACTACCAGGCAACACCAATGTTTCATTCATTTTTGTATACCAGCACATAGATAGCAGTTAATATTTAATTAAGTGAATGAATGACCTTGGGCAAATCAATTTACTAACTCTAAAACAAAGATATACTTATCCTACCTTTCTCACAGCAGCAGTATATAAACCAAAAAAAAAAAAAAAAAAAAAGCATATAAAATATTTTTGGAAAACGTGTAAAACAACAAAAATGTAAAATATTACTATGACCTGGAACTGGATAGGGCCCAGGCTCTTTTGCATTCTCCCTTGTCCCAAACAGCCACTGTTCTCCCAAACTGGGCCACTTGCAGCACTGCAAACCAAAGGGTGCTGGCTGGGTTGTCCATGTGCCACTGGACGACAAAGAAGGACTTTCTGTGCTTAGCCATATCTCTCACAGCAAGACTTCATAAATATTTTAGACCCTGTCAGTGTCCTGGCCCTAAAGGCAGGCTTAGCCTCTTCCCAAGTCCCCATTTCCCTACCCTCTCTTCTCTCTTACCACATAAATCACCCCTCCACAATCATTTTCTCCTTTCCTTTACTCAGTTAATCTAAACTTGGAGTCATGGTGTTCTTTGCAGAACCCCATAAATTACTGATAAATTAAACTAGAAATCAATAAATATTTAATTTTGTGGACTACACATAGATACCAACTAACTGTAAATTTAGAGCAGTTAAGTGGTAGCCAGCAACAGGGGTTTAAAAACAAATGATAGGAGAAAAACTTAAGAAAAAATTCTGTTAACTTGAAAAAGATCTGCACAATTTGATTTCATTGATAGACTATTCCAATACTACCCACAGAATGCCAGGTCCTCTCCAAGACTATATTTTGAAAATTCTTTCCCACTTCTCCAGTTCTGTCACACCTGTGTGCATTAACTTGTACCACAATTTGTCTTTTTAATGGATATGCTCATCTGATTTGTAAATATTTGGAGGGTTGAGACCATGATTTATATTTCCTTGCAATCTACATAGACTTATTCATCCATTAAATACTTAATGAGCACTACTATATGCCAGATATTGAGCTAGACAAACACATTATTAATTCAATAAATGCTATTAATGATACAATTTTAATAAAGTCAAGACCTAAATTTTCCAAAGCAACTTAGGGAAACACAATGAGCTCAGGAACTCTGACCCCTAGCTCTGGGCTAAGTGCTTTATATACATCATCTCATCTAGTTCTCACAGCCACACAAAGAGGCAGCCATTCTCCTATTTCATAGATGAGGAAACTACAGCTCATAGTGATAAGTTACTTCCCTAGAATCAGAGAATCAAATGAAGGTGGTATCAAACCCATATCATAACCACTAAGCTCTTCTGTCTTCCAGAAAAGACACAAAACCTGGTTTGATAAGGTGAGATTAAGTAGTATACACTTCACATTTCAGCCAATCTTTACTTGCTCTTGAACAGTTCCCCTCTGATCTGTACCTCCTATAAGCTCCACAGGCACTCCCTGCTCATCCACTGTCATCAAAACAGGTAACTGTCTCACCTAGACCCATTTGTCTACCAGACTAAACGCTCCTCAAGGTCGAGGATGGTATTCCTCACCCCACAGATTTTGGCGGTCACCAACCGATGGTCCATGGACCATGGTGGCCCATGAGGTCCGAAAGGTTGGCGAGCACTGCAGGATGTAACACTGCCTGGCAAAGGAAAGAGCTCTGTACATGTTAAACAAACATAATACTGAAAACTGTCTGCATAACAACTGCTAAGGAAAGGGAATTTTGTCCAGCACCTTTTGTGGTCCAGGCATTTATTTTACCTATCTCACTTGTCACAACAAATATGCAAAGATCAATTACTCCCATTTTGTAGATGAGGAGACTGTGGCTCTGAACTGCCTAAGTAACTTGCCTAAGGTGACACAGTTGGGAAGCAGTGGAGGAAGGCCATTTAGTTCCATAGTGGAGCTCTTTCTAAGACTTGGTACATGAGGACTGGTAAAGAGAAGGGAGAAAGAAAACCCCATCTACCCAGAGGCAGAAATGGTCAAAGATCACTCCTTTCTGTAGAGCAGGGTCATGTCCAAGGGAGAAGGGATTTCAATACTATTTAAGCAATGTAAATGCTGAGATTTGGTAGGCTGAAAGCTGACTTCCAGCTGGAAGGCAAAAGAAGAACAAGTGAGGTGATTCCTGGGTGCTGGAATCACTGTAGTATTAACTTTCTTCCTAACTGGGCTCCTTGGCTCCACTCAGTATTGCTTCCCATTGTTGACAAAGTTGACACAGGTCTGATCATTACATCTCTGCCTGCCTCTCCCAACTCCCCTGGCAATCAAAAGCTAAAAAGGTTCCTATCTGCCTAAATCAGTGGTCGGCAAACTGCGGCTGGGAGCCACAGGTGGCTCTTTGGCCCCATGAGTGTGGCTCTTCCACAAAATACCACATGCGGGGGCACACATAGAGTGCCATTGAAACTTCGTGGCCCATGCACAGAAGACAGTTTTCGGCTCTCAAAAGAAATTTCAATTGTTGTACTGTTGATACTTGGTTCTGTTGACTAATGAGTTTGCCGACCTCTGGCTTAGGGAATAGCCACGAGGTACCTACTAGCCTTATCGCCCTACCCTGCACACTCACTCAATCATCAAACCACCTGCCATCCCAAGGCCCTTGCCTTCATTTATTCCTACTAGCCCCATAGATCTGGAAGGCTGTTAGGTCATAGATAAGTTCAAAATCTCCCAGGTTCCCTCCACGTTTACCTTTTGAGATCCAAGCCCTCAGCACACCCACTGTGTCAGCTATTAAAGGCTCTGACAGGATGCCAAGGATATACCAGGAGAAAATACAGCCTCCTACTCAAAGCCGGGTCTCTACACGAGCATCATCCGTAGTATCTGGCAGTTTAACATCAGGCCTCCTCCCAGACCTAACGAATCAGAATGCACATTTTTAACAAGACCCTCGGTTATGAGTAGTATGCTACAGTTTGAGAGCGCTATTTTTAAATATAGACTCCAGAGGTCTAAAAACTGGTTCTGTTGCCGAAACCGGTTTGGCTCAGTGGACAGAGCGATGGCCTGCGTTAGATTCTGATCAAGGGCATGTACCTTGGTTGCGGGCCCATCCCCAGTGGGGGGTGTGCAAGAGGCAGTTGATCATGATTCTCTCTCATCGATGTTTCTAACTCTCTATCCCTCTCTCTTCCTCTCTGTAAAAAAGCAATAAATATTTTTAAAAAAAATAAAAACAGGCTCTGCTACTTATTGGCCGAATGACCTTGGGCAAGCTGCTTGCACCCCTGGAAGGCTGTTTTCTCATTGTGGATACTAACTCCCCGCGAGGTGCTTTGAGGAGCGAAGGCTGTAATGTACGTGTCAGGAGTACACAGAGCATGGAGTGAGCGCTCATGTTTGCACACACCACAGCGCGAAATGAGAGGGGCGCGGGCAGTCCGTGGCCGGTCCTTCATCATAGTCTCACTGTGCGGACGTGAGTTCCACCGCACCCCGTTTCCTGAAGAGCCAAACGACCCCCTGGTCTCGCCGAATTCGGAAGAGCTCAGGGGCGCGGAGGCCCCAGGAAGGCGAGGCAGGGCCTGCGAGGCGGAACGGCCCGCACCAGCGAAGGCACCGCGGCGGCCCGCGGCCTGGCGACCCTCTCCCCGCCCGCCGGGCCCGCCCGCGCAGCCCTCACCGGCCGTCAGCACCGGCCTCTGCCGGATCGCGTTATCCAGGAGGCCCGAGCAGTAGCCCAAGAAGCCGAAGTAGGCGAGCCGCGGGTCCGTCAGCTTGGGCGGGGGCAGGCTCCGCGCTTCATCCGGCAGGAACTCCAAGGGCCTTCGGCCCGGCCGTCCGGCCATCATATTGAGGCCGTTCTTATGTGAGGCCTGGCCTCAGACCGCCAACGAGGAGGAGAAGCACCACGACCACCGGCGGGTTCCTCGCCCTAAACTTTCTCCTCCCGGCGCTGGGCTGAAGGGCACTGCGCAGGGCGGTGCAGCGCTCGAACGCTTCCCCGGACGCACAGCTGCACGGACTAGCCCGGGAGGTTCCGGGGCACTAAGTGACCCCCCCCCTTCCGGCCGCCCGCGGGCGCTAAGTTCAGCCCACGGGGTTGGTACCGGAGTCCAGGGGGTCACGAAAGGAGCCAAATTGGGAGACTAGTAGCTACTGCTTTTTTTCGCCCGACCTTCCCCACCCGGAACTGTCTCTTCCTCTCCCGCCCCTGAAAGTCCCTTCAGCAAGAATTGATTTTTGCATCCAACATCTACAAGTGAACTTGATGGATAGTTTCAAGAAACGTAATTCATTGAATTCTCATGAGAGCTGTTTTCATTTCCTGGGTGTCCAGTCATTCATTCGTACCGGCACACCCTGCAAAGTCTAAAATTAAGGTCCAACCATCAACAAAGTATTCAGAGGACCCAGGATTAGATCATGTAGCTAAACTCCTGGGCGGCAGCATCTTGAAATTTTTTCACCTCTGGGTCTTCGGGTCCTTGCACGTGACTGAGGGGAGAGGTGTTTCCTATCTGCTCACCTACCTCCAATACTGTACTGGGGAGTGTCTATCTTGGAACTTTTTTTTTCTTTTCTTCAGAAAGCCCTTCCTGATATTGAGCGAAAATATTTTCTTTTTGTGTACATTCATGCTCCCTACCAGGAATTCAGCCCACAACTTGGGCATATGCCTTGACTGGGAATGGAACCATGACCTCCTGGTTCATAGGTTGATGCTCAACCACTAAGCCATGCTGGCAGGGCTATATTCTCCTTAAAAAAAAAAATAAAATAAAAAAAAAAAATATATATATATATATATAGATAGATAGATAGATAGATAGATACTTTACAGAGAAGAGGAAGGGAGAGAGATAGAGAGCCAGAAACGTCAATGAGAGAAAAACATCGACCAGCTGCCTCCTGCACATCCCCCACTGGGGATGTGCCCGCAACCGATGAACATGCCGTTGCCCGGAATCGAACCTGGGACCTTTCAGTCCGCAGACCGACGCTCTACGGCCGAGCCAAACCGGTCTCGGCTACTTTTAAAAATATGTAAATAAAATAGTACAATGCTAAAACTCCTTTTGATCTCAACCTTCATTCTTATTCTCTTTCCTTTCTTCCAAGAGGCAACTTTGGTCCTAATTCCATATATTATTAGTGTCCATTTTAATATATTCACATTCATAGATGAATTGATAAACTACATAAAACATATGTGTGTGTGTGGTTTTAAAACTGTATACATTCTGTACAGATTATCTCCTTGTTTAGAATTGGAATTGCTGAATTTCAGAATATATGAATTTTATTTTAAAAATATATATATTTTATTGATTTTTTTACAGAGAGGAAGGGAGAGGGAGAGTCAGAAACATCAATGAGAGAGAAACATCGATCAGCTGCCTCCTGCATCCCCCCCTCCCCCACCGGAGATGTGCCGGTAACCAAGGCACATGCCTTTGATCAGAATCGAACCCTGGACTCCTGAGTCCACAGGCTGATGCTCTATCCATTGAGCCAAACCAGCCATGGCGAATTTTCAATTTTACTAGGTAATATCAGGTTCTTCATAAAGAAACTGATCCAATTTCCATTTCTAACCACAATTTATGTGAACGTAGCAATGTTTTCTATTGTCAGACTTTAGTTTTTGTCTATGGTAAAAAAAAAAAAAAGGGATCTCAATGTTGTTTTAATTTAATTTGCATTTCCCTATTATCTAGTGAAAATTGTTTTCTTTTTTAAAAAAAAATATTTTTTATTGATTAGAGAAAGAGGGAGAGGGATAGAGATGAAAACATCCAGCCCACAACTGGGACATGTGCCCTGAATGGGAATCAAACCAGAGATCTCCTGGTTCATGGGTTGATACTCAACCACTGAGGCACACTGGCCAGGCAATAGTTTCTCTTTCTACGGTCATTTTCTGTTAGGGTTTCCTTCTGTTTGCCTAGTCATATTTTGCCTAGTCATACACTTTGCTTATTTTCTCTAGGGTTGTCTTTTTCTAAATGATTTGTAGGAATTTTTAATGTGAAGTAATATAAATCCTTTGTCTGTTATATAAGTTACAAAAACCCCCATCTGTTGTTTGTCTTTTAACTTTATAAGGTCTTCTATTATACAAAAGTTAAAGTTCTAATGTAGTAACATTTATCTATCTAATCTTTTTCTTTATGGTTTATTTTGTGTCTTTAAAAATTCTTTCCAAAGCAAGGTCCTAAATTTTTAAAAAAAAGATTTTTGGTTTCCAAAACAAAGCTCTATAATAGATACCACTTTTATGCATTTCCCCATCTCAGGAAATGGTGCCACCATCCATTCAGATGCAATACCTGGAATACAGGGATCATCTGATTCTTTGCTTATCCTCAAGCCCTATATCTAATCTATTTCCAACTACTGTCAATTCCAAGTCCAAATCCATCTGCTTCTCCATCACACTGCCACTACTCTTCTTCCATATTCCATAACCTTGCTCCCAGGTAATTCTCAGCAGAGTAACTTTTTGAAAATAGATTTCAACCTCCAAGTAAATAAGAAATTTAATAGAAAAAGTGATAAAGAGCATAAACAGTTTTCAGAAGAAAAGTACAAATGGCTCTTAAACACAGGAAAATACTCTAATATCTCTCATAAGAGAAATGCAAATGAAAATTACCTCGAGACATCATTGGCAAAGATCTAAAATACTAATGACCCACTCATGAGGTAGACAAGTTTGTGGGGAAAGAGACATCATTCCTTGCCTGGGGAACATAAACTGGTGCAACTTCTATGACGAATTTGACAACATCTACTAGATTATAAATGCATGTAGCCTTCACAGAGCAGTTTCCAGGTGGAAGTCATTAACAAGGAAAACTACAACAGTGCTGGTCTGGAAAGTCAGCTCATCTTCCCTGCAGTTCTCTTCTGCTTCTGGCTCTATGCCTTTCCCTGGGGAAAGACAGTGACCAAGAATACCAAGTCCCTCCCACTTTTCTTTTATCTTGTGAGATTTTGGTATACTGTATGTAAATTAAACAGCAGATTTTAAAAAATGACTTATTTATACATCTTGTTTAAATTTTGATAGTAACCTTGGCTTGCTCTTGACTTTGCTACATTCTAGGTTGTAAAAAATATTTGGAAACTATACCATTTAGTAATTGCTAAAACCTAGCAATTTGTTGAAAATTGCCCACATCTCTGCAAAGTTTAAATATACAAAGTATATTACTTGGGAGAATCCTGGGCTGTAGGCAGAAGTCTGAGTTCTAGTCTGTGCTGGCACCAAAAAGCTATTCATGTCTCGGGAATCATTGCACTCTTGGCAATACAAGGGGTTGAATTGCTTTAAAGACTATATTAGGGCTTTGAACTCTTAAGCCAAACAAAAACTCACATGAAGCTTAATATATGAAATAGATCAACATATTTGCTTTGGTAGAAGATGGGACAGGGCCGAGGGTCTCTGAGGCAACTCTCAAAAACTTTAAGGGCTCTGCAGAATATTCTGGAAATCTCTGCACCAGGTGAGCTCTTGCAGCTCCAACATCACATCACATTCACAGTAACAGCCTTCAAAGCATAATTAAATTCGGCCTTGTTGAGAGGTATCCAAATTCATCTTCTAATTTTCTTTTTTTGGCTTGCTTACCAATTGGCAAAGATGTGAGGAACTACACTGGGCCCCTTGTGTTAATGCTGGTACTATAAACATTCAGATTTTAATCATGGCCTTGTGATGTGTTTTCACTTATTCAACTGTGCCAAAAACTGGAGCTATCAAAACAAGTGTGGTCTCTGCTCTCAAATTGTTAGTCTCCTCGGGAAAACAGATAAATAATTACAGCCATTAATAGGAGGAGACCCCTGGAAGCACATAGTGAGGGTACTCAATTCTGGTGGAGGGGAAGACAAGGTAGAGGGAAAAGACTCATAAAAATATGAAGATATTGTCCTGGCCCTGGTTGATTTGACTCATTTGGTTAGAGCTTTGTCCTGTGTACCAAAGGATTTTGGGTTCGATTCCCATTCAGAGCACATGCCGAGGTTGTGGGTTTGACCCTCCTTTGGGGCTCATATGAGAAGGCAACCGATCAATGTCCTCTCTCACATTGCTGCTTCTGTCCCTTCCCCTCTCTGAAACTAGTAAGCTTAAAAAAAGAAAAAAAGATTTTTATTGGAAAAAAAAATTTATTGAACACTTAATATGTGCCAGGCATGGTTCTAAATTTTTGTGTGATCATTTTAAAGACAAGGACATTTGTCAGATTTTTTTTTAACCCTCACCCAAGGATATTTTTCCATTGGTTTTTATTTTTTAAAGTATATTTTTTATTGATTTTAGAGGGAGAGAGAAACATTAATGATGAGAATCACTGATTGGCTACCTTCTGCATGCCCCCAACTGGGGATCAGGCCTGCAACCCAGGCATGTGCCCTTTTACTGGAATTGAACCTGGGACCTTTCAGTCCACAGGCTAACACTCTACCCAGAGCCAAACCAGCTAGGGCTCCCATTGATTTTTAGAGTGGAAGACAGGGTAAGACAGAGAAATATCGATGCGAGAGAAACACATTGACTGGTTGCCTCCATCATGCACTGACTAGGGCCCGGGTGAAGGAAGAGCCTCTAACCAAGGTGAGTGCCCCCAGATGCTCTATCCTGTGAGCCAAACCAGCTGGAGCATAGCTATAGATTTTTAAAAACCATGGAGACAGAATTTAAAATCAGGCTGTTTGACTCCAGGGCCCCAATTCTTAATCACTACACTGTATTACCTTTACATTCATAGATGTGATAGCAATTAAGTTGAATCTTGAGGTATGAACAATCAGATGAGAATAGAAAAATCAGCAAAGAGGAAAGAGAATAAGGGGCATGATTGAAAGAAAGCAAATATACAAAATAGCATGGCACACTGGGAACTTTGAGTTGTTAGATGAGCTGGGACATAGGGTGCAAAGGGCACTGTGGTGAGAAACATAGGCTTGAGGGGCTCCTCCCATACATCCTTG